AGATTTCAGTTTATTACTAGCAAGTAAAAATAATTGGCTTTTACATATTGATATGCAGTCATGTTAAATTTATTAGCACTGATAACTTTTCTAAATTTTGTAGAATTGTAGTGGAGCACATTGTATGTATTTGTAATAGATAGTCTAATTTCCTGTCTGATAACTTCATCATCTCTATCATTTCTTTATTTGTTTCTATTGATTAATGTTTTGCCTGGTTATAGATAACAGTTTCCTGGTGGTGATTTAATTTAATGCTGAGCTTTGTGAATTATATATTATTAAATGCTGAATTTTGGAGTATTCCTGAAAAATGTAACACCATGTTCTTGAAGGATTTAAATTGCTTAGTATTCTCTTTGGTGCTTTTGAAGCTTGTTTTTAAGCATTTATGGGGTAGGTTTAGAAGAGAAGTTGGAAAAAAAATTTGTACTGTTCCAGAATATGAATACTTTTGGCTTTGTAGGGCATGTAATCTCTGATGTAGTTTCTCAACTCTCCCATGATACTGTCTAAATGGCCACACGTCAATGGGTGGACATAGCTAAAGTCCAATAAAACTTTATTTATGTTAAACAGATAGTAGGCTAGATTTGGCCCTGGGATTCTACTTAGTCAATTCATGATCCAGAGCTTACTTCTCCAGTGACTTTGACTACTGAGGTGTATCCTTTCTGGAGTTGCTCCTGACTATCCTATGTTTATCCAAAGACTGTTGACTCTGGCTGGTAGAAACCCAGAGATGCCTGGCCTCTGTGAACTCTGTACCTTTTTCAGTTTATGACTCCTAGTTACTGTTGCTTTGGAAGCTGTTTCTATCTCCTTTTGTGGATTATATCCTTCATATATGCAAATTAGAATTCAAAGGCTTCATGATGTCTGCATCCTTTTATACCTGATCTCATCTCCTTCCATCAAAGTTTTAGCTGACCCAACCGCTGCCTCCTAGAGACCTCTGTTTTCTGTTAAGAGCTGCAGTCCGGTAAGTTCCTTTATGCAGAAAGCTGGGGTTATAGTAGGGTGCCTTTTTTCCTTTCTGTAATGGATCACATCACAGTCCTGTGCTTCCTGTTTATCAGTGTCTGAAAGCAGTTATTTCATTAATTTACCCCAGGTTTCTGGTTGTTTATGTATGGAGGGTAATTTCTCACCTTCTTATTCCTGCAGAGCTGGATGAAGAAGTATTCCAATTACTTACACTCATGTTGAAATTGTCTCTTATTTGCCAGAAATTTTCCCTGAAAGCTAGCCCTTTAAACCTTTCATCATAATACCATCGTTTTTTGAATACTTACAGAATTTATGGAACAAAAGTAAATACAAAAAAAAAACACAACAGGCTCATATTAAACTTTATTTTTATTAGTCCCAAATAGTCTATTTTCTCAAAGTGTACAGAATCCTTGTAATTGGGAATAGTATTTAAATATTGTAGAGTTTGAGGCAGAGGTATGACATTCAACTTGTATTGAGAGGTTATTTATCATCCAGGCTCTTTATTTCTTAGTGGCCCATAAGAAGAGAAGACAGGAGCACAATGATCTGATGGGAAATCACTGCAGTAAAATCACACCAAGCAACAGTGGCTTGACTAAAATAGTGGCACTAGACATGATGAATTATATTCCAAGGGTATATAATGGATAATTGATGGAATTAGCTAAAAGTTTATACGTGAATTGAGAGATGGAAGTTATGTGTATGATGACTACAACTCCCAGAGCTTTGTGACCATCCACAGATGTGAGATGCATCCTCTCTTCCAAAGTTTGGTTTGGATAAAAGTGTTGGTGACACCACATATACCAAGAAGGCTTGAAAATTTTTCTTAACCACAGAAGTTAGACTTTCTGGGAGATCAAGGTGACTATTAACTATGTTCAAAAATAACTTGAGAGAGTGAGTTAAGGGACTGACTTGGTGTTTTATGGTTGTTATGGGGGTGCACCCAAGGTGATGGTTCCTGAACATGGATAGTTACTTGCATGGTTTGATCTCCCCTACTAAAATCCATACACCTGGGCCTTCTTATCAGCTTTCCTAGATTGGGAGCATGAAGAGGAAAGGGAGGGGTGAAACTTAAAACCAGTCAGTGGTCAAGTCCAACACAAAAATGGTTAATGTTTAGACAGAAAAATCTTACAAGATCTTTCCCCTGAATAACTTGAAGCAGGGCCACTATTAATAGAGATGGAGAAGACTGTGCAATGTTAGAGGAGAAGATTTAGAGTTTAGGTTTAGGTATTGTAAGTTTCATGAGTCTCTCATGCATTGGAGGGTCTCAACTTTTTATGATTTGTTTTTATTTGTCTCATTAAACTTCCAATCAAGAAAGTAGCTGCCTAGTCTATGTAATTACTTTTTTTATAAAAGTAAAAGTTAAACAATTTGTAAGAGCTTTAACATTGGAACCACCTAAAGATATGCCTTACTCTTAAGTGGCTGAATTTATTTTGGACTACACCACAGACTGGCATGGAAAATAATTTGGAAATAGTTAAATAACACTGGTTGATAATATGCCTTGATCTTTATCAGAAATGTCTTAATCCTGTGTTATTCTATGGATGAGATGGAAGATATCAGGAATGTTTTCATTTAGGGCCTTTCTGCTCAAAATTAGCCTTATGCAATATTTACATTATTTTCTTTTCCTTTTGCATTTTTTTTTATTTTGAAAGTCAGTTACAGTGAGAGAGAGGGAGAGGGAGAGACAGAAAGAGATCTTACATCACTGGTTCACTCCCCACGTGGCTGCAGTGACTTCAGAGGGTCAGGCTTATGCCAGGATGCAAGAGCTTCATCCGGGTCTCTCCCAGGTGGTAGAGGGCCCAAACACATAGGCCATCTTCCATTGCTTTTCCTAGGCCATGAGCAGGGAGCTGGATCATAAGTGGAGCAGCTGGAACTTGAACTGGCACACATATGGGATGCCAGCATCACAGACAGCAGCTTTACCCACTAGCCCACAACTCTAGCCCCACATTATTTTATTTCCTGCTGATGTAATGATTTTTGTTTTTAAAATATAAACCTTAATCATTATTTTCCAAAATATTAGCTATATCAATTAAGCATGAATAGTGATACAACCCCTTTTCTGGTCCCCAGTAGTGTTGTGTTTTGAGATAGCTGACATGATATCATTGTTTTTCTTTTTAAGTCAATAGATTTTTAAAATAATTATAAAAATGAGAGAACTGGGTCCAAATTGCATTTCTGTTTTTTGAAAAATATACATCATTGAGCATTTCTAATCTTCAGTTTTCTCATCTATAAACGTAAGAGTTAAAGTCAGTATTCTGTGTGTATCTCAAAAATGCTTTAGTGTTATGATTTTTAGTCAAGCTCTGTAATTGAAATCTTGGTCTTTTGTATTACCCCCCATCTGTTAATATTGAACTGGACACTTAACTAAAGGTAGTTAGATTCCACACTGAGAGAAAGGTTAGCAATTAATCCAGATAAGGAAGTTCCCCTAGAGGCAGAATGCGTGCCTAAAACTTACCTCCAAAGGCTTTACAAAGGAAGATATAGGTTAATTAGACAAATGCAAATCACTAGTCCAGGAATAGCACATGCACAAAATAGCTTGGAGGTCTCGGAATACCCATTCCCTCCCCACTGGTTTCTTTGTGGCATTCCACTCATCTTCTACTTCTTCCCTCCTTACTATGTCTTCTAAAATGTGAAATGATTCAGAACATAAGAGCCTCTGTATAGTTTTATCAGCAGGAGCTTCCAGCTTCCAGAACACCATACAGTAAACACCTGAAACATCATCCACACCAGCCTTCACCATGAAATAATCTGTCTCTAGCTTGAGAACTAACTCCTCTGAAACTAAGCAGGGAGTGATGCTAGCTTTCCTAACTGTCAGATGGGGATCTAGGAAGGAAAAAATTTCTGTTCCTGTAGTATCAGAGAGCAAATGTGAAGCTGATGTCTCTACTTGGACTTTTTATTGACTTCTTTCTCAAGTAGTATTGCCCATTCTGACTATGCTCTATGGTAATGTTGGAGCAGTACACTAAAAATACCTTGAATGTATACACTGAACACTTTATTATTTCTAAAAGCACTTTATTTCACTCTTTTTTGTATTTGCTGTTCACCTACATAAAGGCTACGCAGTATTCAAAGTGCTAGTGATAGATACAATCATCTGTGTCATTAGTTTAATTTTATTTTTTTGGCTCTTTATCTCCTCCTCCTTTTTTAGATAGCAAAAGTAAAGCTCATCAGGTACTAGTACAATCCAAGTCAGATTATAGTAAATATCAGAACTGAGTTAAAATCAGGCCATTAAAAGCATTGCCTTTTCTCCTGCGTTTTGTGAATAAATTTCTGGTTGACATTGCTTTCAACAATTTCCCTACAATTGACAAATAATTCAATAATAAATAAATTTGACAAAGAATAAATAAATTGACAAATCAATAATAAATTCCCAACAAGTTGACAAATAAGCATTTTGGAGAAAAATCTACTGCAAAATAGCTTATTGGTTATGTATTTCTGATCCTATCTGAGGAAATATCTCTTATATGTTTGGCTTCTGATAAATATCGGAACAAATGGATGCTAACACAATGTACTCCAAATACTGCATAATACATGCACTCTTAGTTCCTTAAAGATTTTAATCAGAATAAAAATGGAAGTCCTCACCTTGACTCTTAGATCCAATTTATATTCTTGAATACATCTTAAAAGAAATGCAGCACTTGGGAGACTTGCAAAACTTTACTCAGTCACTAAAATGATAGTTTTTTTTTTTCATTTGTGAATTATCCATTTGAGAACTCTAGAATAGGAGAGATACCGATCAGATTTCTCAGATTACTAAGAATGCAATGCTCATTTAAATATTAAATGAATTTACTGACTTGGCACCTCATTGAAAGTTTTGGAGTCTGTGCCCATACCACCCTGAACACACCTGATCTCGTGTGAATGTTTTGGAAATTTTTCCTCATGTTTTTGTTTTATCTTTTTAGGTTACTGCCCATATGGATATCGAGAATGTCAGAATGGTAAATGTTATAAACAGGAGCAAAACTGTAATTTTGTAGATGACTGTGGAGATAATACTGATGAAAATGAATGCGGTGGGTCCTGTACTTTTGAAGAAGGCTGGTGCGGCTGGCAAAACTCCCTGGCTGAAAACTTTGATTGGATATTAGGGGTCGGCTCTCATCAAAGCTTAAGACCTCCCAGAGACCACACACTTGGAAATGAAGATGGTAGGTTATTGGGTTGTTACAGTTGTTCTAATCATATTCACAGTCGATGTCACATTATTTTCCCTGATATCAGCTACAGAACTCCTGAGAGACTCCCATGGCTACAGAGCAGGTCAATCAAATGTTCAGTGAGGATGTTGTTTCCCAGGCAGCCATAACAAAGGGCCATAGCCTAGGTGGCTTCAACAACAGCTGTTTACTGTCTCACAGCTCTGGAGGCTGGAAGTCCAAAAGCAAGGAGTCAGTAGTGTTGGTTCCTTCTGAGGGCCATGAGAATCCGTGCTTCCATGCCTCTCCTAGGTGCTGGTGATCTCACATGCTTCATAGCTTGCAGGTTGCGGTTCTATATCTTTACATTGTTTTCTCTCTGAATGTCTTTTTCTCTGTATAAATTTCTACCTTTTAATTAAGGCAGTGTCATATTGAGTGTCTTCACTCATTACATCAACTAAACCGGCATTAAATATACTTTTTCCAAATAGTATCACATACATAAGGACTAGCATTTTGTGAGGGTAACAATTCAGCCCATAACAGGAGAAAAAGATGGGAACATTTCAAATATACAAATGTAACTGTAAGACTATATAAGTTAAGCGTGGTGGCTATGGATAATTTCTGTAGAGAGTAGCTGAGGTCAAGTCTCAAACTCACTGGTCAAGGAACATAGGCCATTGGCAGGATGAAGAAGGGATTCTTGGATGCTACAAAACAGTAGAAAGACATCTAAATGTTGAAATTTCACATAATTAGGAAAAACCAATAAGGTGAACAAGCCAGGCTGACCAAGCCAAAGAAAGAATGATCCACATCCTATTCAAACTTTGAAATCTACATACATGATAATATCTGGATATTTTGTCATCCAAGAATAAAATCCAATTACATTTCCTCTCATGTTAAATATTAAAAATCCCTAGTTTATTTGCATAGGTAATTGAATTTTTATATAATATGTATCTTTATATATTGTATTTTTGTATAATGTATATCTTTATTTTGATTTCATGGGGAAACTTTGCATTGTTTTGTTATCCCTTGATAGTTTAGGGATCTGTTAAATGGTTTCTGTCACTATTTTGTTGACTTGATGACATAAATATCCTGTTGATCAGGCAATCTGTACTACATACAGATTTGCTGAAAGTAGAGACTGTTGCAAATTGTTCTATCAGTGAGCTAAAGAGATGGATATTAAATTTCTGTTTCAAATAGAAATACTTTGAGGAGTTCAAATTCAATAGACTGTAAATAAAAACACTAAGATTTAAAAGCTAAAAAAATTCTCCTTGTGTCTTGGTCCTATCTGAATTCCATTCTTATTCCTAGGACACTTCCTGTATCTAGAGGCTACCCCAGTGGGCCTGCGGGGGGAGAAAGCACACCTCAGGAGTCCTGTGTGGCAAGAGTCTGGTGCAGCCTGCACACTAAGTTTCTGGTATTTCATATCCGCAAAAGCCACAGGATCCATTCATATTCTCATTAAGGTAGGATCTTGATCTGTGATGCCTCTGAGCTTGGTGAGGGCTCCCACAGGCAGCACAGCCCACAGGAGTTAGTTACAACTCTTCTGATTGACCAAGGGAAGCCTCTTTTCTGGGGAGGAGCAGCTCCAGTGGCCCAAATGCCCTGGGGGATTTGGTAAATTGGGGCATGGAAACCACTTGTGAGTTCAGTATCCCATCCTGTGATTATTGCTGAATCCACCGGTTCCATTTGTTATAAGTTTGTCTGAGATGTGTGTCTTCCTTCTATGTAGTTGCTTCCTTCACTATCCTTTTCACTAATAAAGTAGATCATTGGTTCATCTGACTGGAGAGTGACTATCCATTTTCCTCCACTGTGTGCAATCATTAGGGGTACTAATAATAGAGCTTTCAGTTCTAAGCACACTGTACAAAGGACTGAACCACTCAGGAGAATGATCAAGGTGTGATTCCATTGAACTGCTTGTTAACTGACATAGTGATGTGTTTCTTTTGGCAGATTAATTGGATGTTTCTGTCAGAGCTTTAATTTAGTATAACAAAGTGACAGTTTTCAGGTACCAATACAGTAAAGCAAATATTAATATTAATGAACTTGGTTCAAATACCTTTACTAAAAGCAAGTTAAAACAGCAACAAAAGGAGATTGTGTGTGTGTGTGTGTTCATTGTAAGAATCTAGATGGGATTCTAAGAAGTCTGGTTTTAAATATGCTTTCAAGGCCATTCCACTTTATCAAGCAGAGCTTCTGTGTGAAGTGCCCCAGCCCGGATGGAAAATGCCTGACCCAAATACCAAAGAGCTCATAATGTCTAAATAGTTGTGACTGCGTATCCCATGTTGACTGGAAACCTGAATTGACTTTATAACTTAGGACTCTTCTAGAATGATCGAGACATTTTCTACCAAATAAAACGCATGCAGCTGATAACCACAGTGATTTGTTCTGATTTAGAAATGTGGACGCTAACTGAAATATGAGGCTTAAAGTTCTAACAGGAGTGTTTCTGCACTTCACTTTTGAGTGTGGTACTTGATTCTAGGAGATGCATGTGAGTGACTCAGTCCTGCTCTGTGAGGTTTGATGAATTGCTTCACTCATATTTCTATTTCAGCTATCTCATCGTAACAAACTTCATGTTACGATAAAATGTTAAAATTCAACCATTTTGTGAGATTAGTCTTCCTACCAAGTCACATAGGACAACTGTGGTTTCTTCAATAAATTACTGTGGAAATTTGACATAGATTTTAAAGATTTGTTTTCCGCTAGTACAAAAACTCAGTTGTTTAAAAGGTGTATACCTTTTCTTTAGTCACACTTATTTTGTAGAAGAGAAACCTTAACATGCTGATTTTATATTCATGCGTTGTAGGGCAATTATTTCATTTTGTTGATTACCATAATGCATATTTCTGGTCATCATTACAAGTCTTTCTCAGGCTACTCTGGGTGGAATCATGCTGGATTTTAACCTATTCTTTGTTCTGAAAGTAACCTACCCTGAGACCAAACCTAGCAGGAGCTGGGATTATGCATTTTTAAGGGAAAATGTTTATTATTGAGTGGGGGAAACTTGACAGGCTGCCTCCCTGTGCACAGAGAGAACAGTCGATTATGCATAATTTATTCCTAATTTTACTCCTTATCTTTTTTTTTTTAAAGAATTACTTCTTATTTATTTGAAAGACAGAGTTACACAGAGAGGTAGAGCCAGAAAGAGGTCTTCCATCTGCTGGTTCACTACCTAAATGACCACAACAGCCAGAGCTGAGCTGATCTGAAGCCAGGAGCCATGAGCTTCTTCTGGGTCTCCCATGTGGGTGCAGGGGCCCAAGGACTTGGGCCATCTTCTACTGCTTTCCCAGGCCATGGCAGAAAGCTGGATAAGAAGTGGAGCAGCCGGGACTCAACCCAGCACCCATATGGGATGCCAGTCTGCAGATCAGGACTTTAAACCCACTGTACCACAGCATTGGCCCCTACTCCTTATCTTTTTTTTTTTTTTTTTTTTTTTAATTTTTTTTTTTTATTTTTATTTTTGACAGGCAGAGTGGACAGTGAGAGAGAGAGACAGAGAGAAAGGTCTTCCTTTGCCGTTGGTTCACCCTCCAATGGCCGCCGCGGCCAGCGCGATGTGGCCGGCGCACCGCGCTGATCCGATGGCAGGAGCCAGGAGCCAGGTGCTTCTCCTGGTCTCCCATGGGGTGCAGGGCCCAAGCACCTGGGCCATCCTCCACTGCACTCCCGGGCCACAGCAGAGGGCTGGCCTGGAAGAGGGGCAACCGGGACAGAATCCGGCACCCCAACCGGGACTAGAACCCGGTGTGCCGGCGCCGCTAGGCGGAGGATCAGCCTAGTGAGCCGCGGCGCCGGCTACTCCTTATCTTTTAAAATGTTCCAGTGATAAGGCATCATTGTGTTCCTTCTGGCTGTCTCCACTCCTAACCCTCAGGAAGTATCCCTTTTATGTTTACCATCCTTTTCCGCTATAGCAAGTCCAACATAGTTTGGAATATTCAGCCTTTTCTAAAACTTTCCTTGATCATTTCCACCTAACAAGAATTTTTTTTCTTGAGTACTCTTCAAGCTCTAGAAGTGAGCTCACTTACTGAATGTTGATTATTACTATTTCAACACAAAGATGGCCAGATCTTGAGGGAAAGACATTGAAGTTTTTACTTTCCATATATCCCTCCCATGTCTTCAGAGGAGGTCTGAGAATGCAGGAAGGAAAGACAACCCTTATGAAGGACAACCCTTTTGTAGGAATGGCTCCTATGCATTGCAATGCGTGGCATTCAAAAAGAACTGGAAAAATTTGAAATATAAATCTAAAATCTAAATCAGATATTAGAGTGTGGAACCACTGAGCAACAATCTAATGGTAATAGAGTTTGAGATAATATTGATTATCTCAATAACAATGCAGGGGGCTGGCGCCATGGCTCACTTGGTTAATCCTCCGCCTGTGGCACCAGCATCCCATATGGGCGCCAGGTTCTAATCCCAGTTGCTCCTCTTCCAGTCCAGCTCTCTGCTGTGGCCCGGGAAGGCAGTGGAGGATGGCCCAAGTGCTTGGGCCGTGTACCTGCATGGGAGACCAGGAGGAAGCACCTGGCTCCTGCCTTCGGATCGGCACATCACGCCGGCCGTGGCAGCCACTTTGGGGGTGAACCAACGGAAGGAATACCTTTCTCTCTGTCTCTCTCTCTCACTGTCTAACTCTATCTGTCAAATAAATAAAAATAAAAAATAAAAAATAAAAAAATAAAATATAACAATGCAAACTAGAATATACTAGTTATTGACCATTAACTCTTGTATTGTTTTATGTAATTCTTAAACTAACATTATGAGTTAAATAGTGTTAGCCCTATTTTGCTCAAGAGATTAAGGATTCCCACAAAAATATCCTAACCTCTCTCCTATGTCTCAATACCCAGTCAAGTGACATAATGAGAATTTGAATCCAGCTATATCTGCAGCTCAAACTCCTGTATTTTCCTACCCGCCCCGTCCCCCAGTGCTCCACATCAACTCTAACAATGAAATGGAGATTTTGTTGTACTGAGATTTATATACATTTTATGCAATTTTATTTTAGAAAAATGAATAATAGATTGATTCTTGGCCTTTTGGCTAAGATCAGGTGCAGAATCTGTTCTTATCAGAAAAATGAATGATAGTTCTCAGAATGGAGATAAAATTCTTCGAGTACTCCTAATAAAAGAAATTCAGGGAAACTTCAGGAAAACAAAGCTGTTGCTTTAGAGATATTTAGTAAAGAGCAGCATGATTTTACTTACCACATATTTTCTCCTTTTTCCCTGTGTTTCTTGTTTTCAGTCATGAGAACTACCTTTCATTAAAGAGATGGAATTGAAACAAATGTAATATTTATGTCTTAAATCAAGGTAATGCATGCATAACAAGATGAAAAAATTGAGAAATTGACATTAATTTTTTCTTTTGAAGTTTGTTTCAGTTATAAATAGGAAAACCCTTTAAATTATGATAAATAATTTATCATAATAAATTATGATAAATAAATAACACATTTAAAATATAGTTCATGTTTTATTAGATCGAATATCTTATCTGGTAGAAGTATGATTAGTGATCATTTAATCCAAGCTAAGCATTTTATGAGTTGGCTTCAGTCTCTGGCAACTGGTATGATCATTATTCACCTATCTTTTTTTTATGGGTAAGTCAGTCAAGGATCAGATGGACTAAGTAATGAGTCCAAGGTCACATGAATGAATGAGGTAGGACTGGAACTTAGCTATTCTAAAATTAAGATTAGGATGCTACAGAGTGTGCTTTTCTTTCAATGGAGGATATTTAGTTATTAAGTTAAAATGAACAGATCATGTGTTTTTCTGAATTTAATAATTCATTTTAGATAGTATCTTTATTCTTTTTAACATTTCTCATTTTAAACTACTTTTTTTTTTTTTTTTTTTTGACAGGCAGAGTTAGACAGTGAGAGAGAGAGAGACAGAGAGAAAGGTCTTCCTTTTTCTGTTGGTTCACCCCCCTCCAAGTGGCCGCTACCACCGATGCGTTGCGGCCGATCCGAAGCCAGGAGCCAGGTGCTTCCTCCTGGTCTCCCATGTGGGTGCAGGGCCCAAGGACCTGGGCCATCCTCCACTGCCTTCCCAGGCCACAGCAGAGAACTGGACTAGAAGAGGAGCAACAGGGTTAGAATCTGGCACCCCACCCTGACTGGGACTAGAACCCCGGGGTGCCGGCGCCTCAGGCAGAGGATTAGCCTAGTGAGCCACTGCGCCGGCCTTAAACTACCTTTTAACTGATTTATATTCACTAGTAAATTTAAACTTGTTGCATTTCAGCCCACCTGCAAAAAATTAAAAATGAAAATTAGAAACAAAAATAAAGCAAATACTTCAGATTAGAATAAGGGCTCTGCAACATAGAAGTTAATAGTTTTTTACAAATATTTTAAGTCATAATCTTACAATTTCACTTATTT